ATTCAAAGTAAGGTTTATATTTTCAATGATTTAATTTATTACATTTAAACTGCCCGTAAGAGATTACTTAAGCGATCAGACCGAATTTATAATAATATATATAAATCAATACCATAAATGTATTTGAAAACTGACTTCAAAAAGGAGATTTTTTCTGTATATTTACTTATATGTATGTTACGCTATAGCATGATGGATTCGAGACTGATTTTTGCAATACTGATTTTGTCTAAACTATGTAGCAAATATTGTACACACACGAAATTTCTATTCTACTTAGAACACATCAAAATCTGAAAAGTTCCTAAACTCAATACGCGAGTATGTAAGTCTATAAAATTAATAGATTGGACAATAATGAAGAATATGGAAGTGTTTAGCGCCGAGATCACTAGAGCACGCTTTATGGCTTCACTTAGATCAAGACGCGATCTGGCCCACTAGAGCATGAGATCGTTAAATTGTTTTTTATTTGTTTCGATCAGTAATCGATTCTCAATGAGTTGTGGTTGGAACGATAAAATCAAACTACTCAAGTTCACAGTGAGGCCGAATGTAGACAAATATTTTTTTCTGTAGGCGTATGATAATCTGTGAAAAAACTGGATGACTTATTTAAATAGCTTTCGATGATATTTATGGTTCTATTTAAGTTTAGACACAAGTTATTTTTTCACGATTAAAAACGTAGATAAAAAACAAAACCCATAGTATAAAAACAAAACAAAATGATGATTGGAGAAAGAAAATGGAGATTTTCACGTTTTTTTTAGGCTTTGCCGTGACTTTCCATTAGGTGAGACAAAACCACACCAATCCAATAAAAAATTCATTGTTATTGCAAGTGACAAAAATAGTTAACGAAAATAGTTAAAATTGAACGTTTAGCAAGTATTTTATTAAATAATCTGAATTAAACCTGGCAATTTGTGCAGAGAAAGCTTTATTCCGCTAACCATGTTACAATGTAGGAAACAGAGAGAGAGAAGAAAAAAAACTATCATAACCAATTCACATCTATGCTATAAATCACAGATGAAGAATAGGGTTCACAGCTAACAAAAATCATACACATAAAATAAATAATATCTAAAATTGATTATATTCTTAAATTATACGGAATATTGAAACGGTAAAAGCGATCTGTTAAGAAAGATACTTGTATTATTACGTTCTAACCAACCTACAAGTCACAGTTGTTCAAATAGACGATTATTTTTTTACATTCTAAGTGGAAATATAATTCTTCTAAGGATAATTTATTGAAACTTCTTTGTGACCATAATGTAAATTTAAGTCTGGCCACATATATATGTTGATATTTTTTTTCTACACGGTTTTTGTTTCTATTCAAATGTTTGTCTCGTCTTGTATCTACCCGTATTATATATATTGTTGTTCTAAAGAATATTATTTTTCACTGTGACCCTCTACATAATTGTGTACCGTTACATTTCGTCTGAGATGATAATTTCCAAGCGAGAACCTACATAAGTTTATATATAATTTCTATGTAATGATCTAGCTGTTTTAGTACCGATACAAGACCCCAAGAGCCGACACAGATGAGTTGCACTTCTTTGATTCAAGTCATCATACAGTCTTCTAATAAGATAACTAGTATAATGTTTGTGGTTATACCCTAATCACCCATAGATGTATCATAAAATCATATCTATATATTTAATATAAAGTATATTTGTGTATTTATAATATTACAGGTAGCCATTTTTTATTTTTATTTTTGTTGTGATATTAAATTGAATATTTATTTTGAAATATAGATTTTTCTAATAAAATGGTGCCTCAGAATCGCTCCAGTATGTGCTTATTTACAGAAGTCTAATTATTAAAATTCTTCTCAGTGATTTATTTTAATTTCTTTCAAGCCATTGCAATTTTCCCGCTTAGTGCAACTGAACTTGCAATAAATAATGCGACTGCAAAACATGCGATCGATAGCGATCGAACAAAGTAATCGGAGACAGTTATGCAACTGTGACAGTTAATGTTACCGTGAGATCGTCACCGCACACTAATAATACCATCGATAATTGGCTTTAATTACGCAATATTAAAATTCCTTTATAATCTTCATCTTTTATATTAAAGAGAGCATTTAAAAATAAAGTATTATGTCTAATTAAATATAAAAAATAGGTAGTTAACCTACATAATTATTTTTACTAGACTTATTATATTATTATTATATGATTATTTTATAAATATAATCCAATAACTAATTTTAAATTACAAATTATTATAAGTTAACAGTTTTAAATTAGATATAGTTCTAATAACAGAGCAGTATTCCATTAGAAAATTTTCATGTTAAAAATTTTAATACTCATATAATCACTCAATTCCTTCTCAAGGTTATAAAAATTTATACATAGTAAATGATAACAAAAAATCCACTTCCCGCTTCGTGTATGCTTTACTAATTAGTACGTCATCCGCCAAATAGGTTGCGAAGGCAATACAGTATTAGCTTGACAAATTGACTTGGCATTCCGGAACAAACTTCCGCCGCTATGATACATATTACACGATTCATTTAGTCCTACAGATGATTTGTCACGAGATTCGTGTTTTGACTTAGCTGCTTGTTGAATAATTAAACATAATTATTTATATAACTTTAATGCAAGTAATACAAAAGGTAAACATTTGGCAGACTCAATATCACTTTGCGACTTTTTCTACCAGTTAACAAACGGTAATGTATTGTTGAAAACATTGTTCATTACAACTACATATTATTTATTCATGTTTTTTACTGCTAAGATTTTTTGGGTGACAGGCACAGCATAAAGAATATCTTTACTTTGTAGCTCTAGTTGTAGTAAAAGTTTCACATAAATAATAATATTTATTTTATACAACTTAGAATGGCAAACAAGCTGACGGCCCACCTGATTGAAAGTGGTAACCGTCGCCTATAGACATGAGCAGTACCATGGACATAACAGAGTATACTGTTTCGTCCATGACATGATACCCCTCATGCGTTGCCATTCCTGAGTTTTATAATAAACATTTCTAAATGGTCATTTTTTTATAAATTTACCGCCCAGTTCGGAATGCAATTTCAGCTGAGAAGAACGGACATGAAACACAGTTGTTGCTTTTATCAAATAGCTAGAGTTAAGCGTACAACAAAAAAAATACTAATTCGCCTAATAAAAATGTCAATTTTAAAGATTTCAAATAATGAATTAATTCGTTTCGTGCTAATGCGTTCTTTACCAAGAAAAACTGAATATGTATTGGCATTTATCATTTACAATATATAAAAAAGTCTGTTAAATAATATGTTAAAGAAACCTTTTATAAAACCTTACACATGTAATGAAATCTATTAAGGTACATACGTACGTATATAATATACATATGTATCTATTAAAATGTCATCTTATTAATATTTTAAATATGAAAGTTTATAAAGTTATAATCACGTTAAAATAACAGAACAGATCTGAGTGGAATCTCGATATTACCTACACAGATAGATTATATTATGTCTAGATCAAATTTATGCTGGAAACCCCACTGATTATGTTGAATTTGGAACTAAAATATAAGAACGACAGATTCATAAATGACCGATGGTCCGTTGAGCGATCATACTCGTACTGAGCGCCGCCTAACGGGACTTTCCTGCCGGCCCTAAGTTCTGCCGCGTGCTCGGATCAATACGACCATCTCAAAATTATATAGCACACCGACACGAGAAACTAACGATTTTCGAAGCACCACTCTTTATTGTAATCTATATAGTTTATCTCATGTCTTCATCGTTACTTCATTCAGTGGATATCAACTGTTCAAATTATATGTACCGTACTACTAAAGTAAGTATAGGTACGCTACGTTTGATATTGTACCGATGTTTTTTACCATAATCGATTCGTAAAATAAAGATAACAAAAGACATGAGAATTTTAGTATAAAATTTTTAAATGCGTATATTATAAGAGAGGGATAGTTTTATAGTATATGTATGGGTTATGTATTACAGTCATGTCTACATCTGTGAAGGAATAACGAATGCGTTGTTTCCATTTGTGTATTGCTAGTAAATAGCTAGTGCAATTTTTGATATATGAGGCATAACTATTTACGGCACGTCCTAAGGAGTATCAATGCATAAATGGTGTTCCAAGCTGGCATTAAGTACGTGTTTGCATCATAATAAAGGCGTCAACTATTACCATTCATCATAGATAAAGGATAGTAACTCTATCTATGCCATTTACACAAATATGCAAATTGTGTTATTTGTTACAAACAATTTTTAAGCTACTTAATAATAAAAATATTTCAGTAGACAATGAGAATTCACATTGAAATTTTTAGTTTTGAGCGTATCAGTCGTGCGTGACAAATTAAGCTACTAGATATTATCGTTATTTCTTGTGGTTATTTGTATGTTAATGACACTAAAAGAGCATAAATAGAACTGCTTTATACAATTAAAACACTTATCCCTGTGATGGTATATTTGAAATTGAACAACTCTTTAACGAAAATCAAAAATAAATAAATTCAACAGTGAATATGATGATGATACTTTGATGTTTAATGAACTTCAATAATATATCTTTAGTGGCTATCTTCTTTCACATTAAACAATTTAAAAAACAAACGTAGTATTTTTATAAATAGTTTGATACGGAATGATAATTTAAACTAATCTTATCAGGTAATTCCTGTATATTCAACGATCTAACATTTTTCTAGAAATTTTAGAGATTCCTGTAGAAATTTAGCCGGATTCCAAGGTGGTTCTATTGAACTTACTTAAAAGCAAAATCGGTATGTTAGTCGACACTATTTTTAAATCTATAAGTTACACTATTTCGAGATTATCACTAAATGTTATAGTAAAACTGAATAGCTAAATAAAACGCTTATATATATATATATATATATATATATATATATATATATATATATATATATATAGAGAGAGAGAGAGAGAGAGAGAGAGTACATACCTGAGGCCGTAGTGTGGTATGCCTAGAGTAGTAGTCATGCTGGTAAAAGTTGGTAGGTGACAGGGGTGGCCTATACTTCTTGTGGCCATAGCCCATTGTGTCCATTGCATGCATTTTAACGGCACAAAACTGTACTCAGTCCATTACACTATTACTAGACAGTTCACAGTAGTCGCTCGAGCACGTTACATCTGGAACAAAGAATAAATGTATATTTTATAACGCATTCATTTTTACATTTCTCCGTAAAGCTTTCTTTGAGTTTTAACAATTGGAGAGACGGCGCGCGGTGCGACCAGCACATGTCCCGAATCAAATATATGGGAAGACGATATGCGTCGCATAAGTAATCACGTAATCTAGGCTTTTATAATGTTTGGTGTGAATGGCGGCACCCACATTATTTGTAATCAATAAAATACAGCGTGTTGCTATTTCGTATGTTTACTACCAGTTTTTCAAATGCATTTAAATGAAAAGTATCGATGACGTCAATTTATGTGGAGTGTAAATAATAAAGTATTCAAATATTTGAAAAGAAAATAATATTTACTGTTAAAAGTTCGCATGATAACGAACTGTTATTTATTTATTATTGAATATAATCTATGCTAATTTCTTTGGTATAAGAACATTCCTAACGGAATCCTTTGTATGTGTTGTGGTGTGCCAACTTGTATCAACTCACTCACACAGATGCGACCTTTTTTATCATATTTTGTATGTACCTCCCGCGTCATTGACACCGCAGCCCGGTTAACGAGCTGTCCGAGCACTATAATAAAATAGATAATTTCGATAAGTCAAAAACCTCTAGTGCCTATTAAAGTGGTGAAATATAAATTTTGCTATTTTTCTGAATATTTGGTGAAATACAATACCAAACGATTGTCATTATAGGACAAATACTTCTATATTCACGTCTATATATACCGTTATGATCCTGACAATATAATAACTACCGTACCGTACACGTTTAGTTATTGTGCTATAACCAAGACTTTAAGACAAAGTATTTTAGCAAGTCATCCAAAATCAAATAATAACTACATAACTACGTACTGTCATGACTAAATATACTTGTGTAAAAAAAAAACAGAATACATTTATTCTCACGTTTTTTATACCAGTCTGGACGTAATGTAACGTACTTTTAATTAAGATTCATTAAATGATACAAAGCATCATTGATGTAATTAGTAGATTTGTCTATACAGCGTACCTATTGGAAATTACCTCAGAATATCACATATAAAAAAAAAAAACACTGAATTTGTGACCGAAATTGTACAAATATTTATGTTTTCACCAAATTCGCAGCTGTAGACCGAGAGCGATGTTTCAGTCACCTTAAATTCTAACATGAAGTACTTAAATAATCAAAACAATGCCACTTTGACAGTAATCTATTCGTGTTTCATTTTCTACAGGTAGCATTATACATTTGTATCAAGACAATAAGGGCATCAAGATCAGTTATCGCAATGAGCTATGTAAACATGTGTTCCAACTACTTAGATAGCATCAATAATATTTTCCTTGATGACGTGTTGCAATCTTAATCATAAATTTTCAATAAGAAATATGCAATGTTGATTGTGGATTGCTAAGGAAGCTGCTGTTTCATTTTACGTCAGCGATTTAATTGCGCTATTTCATTAACGTTATGGTGTATCATGATTGAATAACAATAGCAACTATTTTTTATTTATCATGTTGGTATTGGATAATATTTATCGCCTAGACACGCATCTATGTAAAAAATCGTTGAAGTGGATTTTTTTAAGAGAACCAGATACAAACAGACATAAATGAGTTTTGTAAGAAACATTTTAAGGAGTAAATATTTAAACATACTTAAATCTTGAAATTTTAAAAACTGCATATAATTTAATGTTGCCATTTCAGAATATTTCGGGTACAAACACACAGAATACAATTCTAAACAATACTGTTTCAGCTCCTACTACTCTTAGATATCTCTCACTATAGTGTTTAAATATTTTTTACATACAAATAGAAATCAGTTACAATTCTATTATAAGTATAGATTTTTAAAAACATCATTAGAAGACGACTCGCATGTTTGTTTGCCTCACATTCCTAAAAAAAGTATTCCAATATACTCCTTACAGATGAGCTCAAGTATCATATTGTACCACAGACTAACTAAATACAATGCCCTTACAGTTTTCGCAGCACGTAATTCGAGCAGTTTAGAATCGTTAACACGTACACTGTGATTGCTCAATACCTCACCAGACCTTGCCCTGTGTGTGCATCGTAGTTGACTCATACCATGGGCCATGAGCACCGTGAGAACCGATCTAGTTTTAATAGAGTCCTTACAGGTAATATGTATTAAAACCTCGTACATAGACAATGAGATCATTATGTTTACTTATTTGAAGGTTCTTTCTAAGGCACAACATAATTTCCCGGGATCAGTTCTTGGTTTTGGAAAAAACTTGTCTATTATGGCTAGAGGCTAGGTGTTTTATATAGTTCTTTTAAACGATCTGGCTTCCAAATACACAGAGTATCCTAGTTTGAAGATCAGGTAATTAATATAATTGTATGAAATAGACTAAAAAAACATTTATTCGGCATTTCACATAAAAATACAAAATAGAAAAATAATTTGTTAACCATTTAATATTACATATATTTATGTAAATATATAAAATAACTTCCACTAAGCGTATTTGACAATATCACAGTGTTGATTTTCTGTAGGGCTACCAAACATGAGACTTCATGAGTGTCGTAAGAGGAATAGACGAGGGATAGGCAGCAGCGTCCCTCTTAAAATATTACCAAAACCTAATTACAGTTGCCAACTCACCTACCAAGCGTGACAACTAGTGGCAAAACCCCCTTTATAGCGTACAACTATGTTCAGCATTAGACACATAACGGCTGATATAATATTTCTTAATTATACAAATGTATGTTACAGCTGTTAATTAGATACGATTCTAATGCACATAAAACACGCTCCTTCACATAAATTATCCTAATAAAAGATACTTACACTCACATTAATATACGTAAATACATACGAGAATTTTCAATATATATTTTGTTAAATTTATTAATCTCGTCGGTGTCATCAAACTGACAAACTATATTATTTGAGGCGCCTCGAGCTTTTTTATTCACAACTAAAAGGTCTCTAAGGTATCGACTTATAAGTTAGTTGCTAATGATGTTTATAAACAAAATACCTGCGAAGTTCAATGTTACGACGTAATGTGAGGGCGACGACGGCGCGGGCGCACGACCGCATACACTTCAATGTCAATGTCACCTTTCCATTTGGCGTAAACGGTAAACTTGAAGTTTAGAGATTGGGCGTCTTAAGGGAATCTCTCAATTGATTCAACAATTTTGTTTAGTTTCAGTGTTTATAAAAATTTTAAATGTTGTATAATGTATAATATCTTCGTGAATTATAAGTCGATTTAATTATATTTTTTATAATTATTGTAATCAATATGGTATGTTGTTTTCAATAAGTTTATATCTAAAAATTATAAAAACCCTTTAAAAAGTATAAAAGACATTGTATATTACCTTACTGAATAATACAATATTAAATTTGTCGTCGTCGTTTGTCATATGGACCCGGCATCGAATTGACCACTCCTTCCTTTCCCATGGGTGTCGTAAAAAGCGACTAAGGGAACGATGGGTGGCAGCGTTAAAACATCATTAAAGCCTAACTGTAGTTGCTTGCCAAGCGTGGCAATTACTGGCAAACCCCCACCCCTTATGGGGGAGGCCTAAGTTCAGCAGTGGACAATTAACAGTTGATATAATATAATTTCATTATTATTTAACTTTATTTTATATGAACCAAAAGCTATACTCATAACCATAGTTAGGTTTACATGGCATCTTTTTAAAATTTTGTTTTTTGTGTTAATTGTGCAATCTTCTTTTTTGCAGCCATCATACTGACGTAAAATTAACGTGACGTTGTAAGCAAAAATAAAATTACTTCACTCTGCGTTAGATATTACATAATTTCTTACAACATATTTATTTTAAAACCTACAATATAGTACTTACGTAATAGGCACGTAATTAATTAATAAAAGTTGTAATACATTTATAGATATATCGATTTTATCATGTAGTTATACAAAGATGATGACTCAACGTAAGTGTTAAAAAATATAAACCATTTTATTTTTCTAAATAAAAGAATATAAACAAAAAACCGATGATTATATAATGATTCAAGAAAAATATATAAAAAACTGAAATGATCACGATTAAATGAATAACCGTCGTGTATTTAAACATTCCGTGCATTTGAAGTCAGAAGTATATTAGTCATTGTTAACTAAAAAATAAATTAAATATACACATGATATGTACTTTTCAGGAAATGAAATTATTTTTACAAATTCTGAGTTATATAATTTTAGTCCTTTACTACTACATACAAGTAGTTCGATATAAATCTTTTTACAATTTTTATCATAAATGATTTATTATTAAATGTATAATATATTATATTAAATGTAATAAAATATTTTGTAATATAGTAAATACTGTATAGAACAACTAAAACATACAGGATATAAAATGCGTTAGAGGCTTCATAAATTGTCAGATTTATTTACGTCTAGGTAATCCTCAACTTCATAGCGTAATAAGCTCCTAAAAATTCTATTTATATTATGATTCTGTCGAGTAAACACGTAAATTAATCAAAGTATGTAAATTATGTGGGCGAAGTAACGCGAATTGTTGTGGAATTCGGACAAATACGGTACCTAAATATTTATTATGTATGTAAGAGCGTGCGAAACGAACCGCGGCCTACAAATTGAAAGCACTGGTTTTGACAACTACTTACAATAGGATTAAGATTAAGAAATTTAATATACATATATAAAATATCTCGCCGTGTATGCCCCGACATAGAATGGGTCACCCTTTCCTTGTACCCCCGTCATCCCGTCCCGTGGGTGTCGTAAGAAGCGACAAAGGGAGGGCGAGGGATGGGCAGCAGCGTCCCTCTTAAAACATCTCTAAAAGCCTAATTGCGGTTGCTGACCCGCCTGCCAAGCGTGGCAACTACTGGAAAAACTTCCCTTATGGGGAAGGCTTATGTCCAGCAGTAGACAGTTAACGGCTGAAATAAAAATATAAAATGTATTTCACAAATTATCATTGA